GCACAATCACTGTAATTGGACATACCCATAGAAAGCAATTGATAAACTAAAAATGTTTTATCTTCATCCTCAAATCAGAAATGTTTTGAATGGATGCAACATATTGAAATCTTTGTGAAGCATAATCTTACTGATAAGAAATTCTTATTTACTCATCATTTAAGCCAGGCAGTCTGTATAATTCATACATGTAACTGCTTATGTTGGAGTACGATATATTTAGATAATGTATGGGATTCCCAGAATGGCTTCTATTTTTTTCAAATTTGAATTTTTTTTTTTTTAATTATGAGCCAATCTAAGACCAATATCGAGAACAATAATTTTTCTATTATGAATATTTTCTGTTTCAGGTAAAAAAATGTATAAGGCAAGGACAGTGTTTAGTACACTAGCCCCCTTGGCACCACGCATGTGTGGGCCAGAAAGGTTTGCATCATGGTTGGTACGAAGCCATCCCCTGACCAGGACCACACAGGTAACAGTGAACGAACCAATCAGGAAGTACAACAGCAGGGCAGCCACAGAACCTTTCTTAAATGGCACCACAAGTTCTTATGTAGAAGATATGTACAATGCGTGGTTGCAAGATCCCCATAGTGTACACGTGGTCAGTAATATGTTCCTTAAATAATTTTATCTCATAAACAGAAATTAGAGTTGGTTTTTTATAAATGTAATTTTATTAACTTATCTTTCTACAGTCCTGGGATGCATTTTTCCGTAATAGCACTGCTGGAGTTGCCCCAGGTCTTGCTTACCAGGCTCCACCATCTCTTGCTCCAAGTCATAATCAAATTCCCTTAGGAGCATTATTACCTCTAGGTGGTGGGTCCCAGTTGAGTCAAGTACCTGTTAACGAAAAAATAATTGATGATCACCTGGCTGTACAAGCTATTATTCGATCCTATCAGGTATTTACAGTTTCTAGTTCTCATTGCAATTAAAGGAACAGTAATAATTAATCTTCGATAAAATATGATCTTAAACAAACAGCAAAGTTTTTAATTTTATTATTTCTACACGATTTTTTTCGTATCAAATTATTTTGCGGGAAGTATGATATTCGGTTAAAAGTGTGTTATACTTGTTGCTACATGTCATGTCAAAGCTTATAGTTGTTCCAATTATTCGTTTCGTCTAATCAATATAAATGAAACTTTCTGTTACGATATTTAAATAGTGTAATTTGAATCAGTTGGCAAATTCTGAGCATGACGGAAACATATATATATATAAATGTTTTATGTTAAAGGGAAGTTATCATCATCATAATGCATGTAAACCTTTCTCTTTAATCTCTAAGTCCAATTCCTCTGACCAATTAATAAAGTAATTGTAATCATTAAAACGGCTCACGTTCCAAATCTATGATTCATGTGTACATATCTATTGTGATTGTACATAACAGGTTGCAGAAGTTGGAGTACAAGAGATTGATAGAGAAACTACTTAATTAGGGGCTATCATGAGCTGGATTATGGAATTTTTTATCATACTATCAAAATTTAATAATAAAAGAATACTTACATGATCATAGATTAAACATTGAGAAATCATTTCTGACTGCTGCATAATAGCCTCGTTTTCTTCACATTAATATATTAGTTGTTCACTGCATCTTTTGCCTTAAGCATGTTTCTCAATTACATTTCTCCCAATGTAAAAATATTGGAATTCTACACTTTTTAATGTAAACTATACATATTCTAATAATTTCATTATTAACCATCAAAAACTATTTTACATATATTTATTTCTATTGCCAATCGATTTTCAGAATAATAGGTAGAAATGATTTTTTGATTAGTGCCAGAGATATTATTTATAAAAGCCTAACGTTTTCATATTAAATGAAAAACATAATCATAATGATTAACTATCATACTTTAAAGAAAGACATTACATTTTTTCAACGTAGCGGTATATAGTAAAATTCGACAAGTGCAAACAATTATATATATTGGGGACCTTTTGGGATTATTCATTGGCATATAGGCTCGAGGTCATTTAGTCGCTGATCTGGACCCACTGGGTATCATGCAAACAGACCTGATACACACACATTATGCAGCCCGCAAGGGGTCTCCAGAACAGGTTCTACGGCAATATATGCTTGGTAAGGCTTTTTCCCAAACCAATTCCTTAAAGTACGTCTTTAATTAGTCTCTATGTGTACCATAAGGTAAAGGTGTGTAAAAATTCATAATGTTTGTTGCTGAAATCTTGGCCATATCGATTTCGTTCATATTAATGTTAATATCTCAGATTCTGATGCTTTTAAGACACCTTCACCCAATATGTACATCATATTTCATCTTGTACTTAAAGATCATGGTCTTTATATCATACACATTAATTCCTTCTTAACTGTCTTCATATTCTTCTTCTTCTCCTGATCTGATGCTCTCTATATCACATAATAAGTAAACTTCTTAATTTCAGCAATTGTTCTAAGGTCAAGCATCTGGCTTTCTAAATTTTTATAATCTTGCTACAAAATCTAAAAAAGAGTATCTATGATTGTTTATCTTATATTTAATAATATAAAGTTTAATAAAGTTTAGGTGATTGCAGCAATATTTCTGTTAGTAAAAGTTTTATATTACTACAGTAAAGAATACTGATAGATGTTTTTCAGATACTGAGAAGGTGTTATGTGAATGTTATTCCATGATAGTTGTATACTGATACTGAAAATGTTTTTACTAGGAATAATTGCGGTGTAACAATTTCTATTTTGTAATTTGTATCAATGTTAATTGGAATACTTATTTAAAAATACGTTCAAACAAAGTTTTGGATTTGTTGTTTTGTAGTCAATGTGTTAGTATCCACGACATATTTGTGCAATAAAATATTTTTGTAAATTTGTCTGAGGTAAGGAAACAATTTAGAGATTCTTGCTTTGCATGCTTAGGAACAATGCCATATTCTTAGCTTTGCTTTTTATATGTTGCAACTCACCATATGGAATGTGTATTGGTAAAACAGTCTAGCATTTTGCTTATTTATATTTTCCTATATTCATTTATTGTTCTCTTTCAAAAGATGTTTTCACATTGTATCCACATAGCCAGTAATGATAAAATTGTAAAGATAATTTTACATATAAATGTTTTATTGATGGGAAGCATGTATGCAATATTACATGCTTCAATTGTTAGAATACCATGATCAATGTTTTATTTGCAATTACTGTGATACGATAACCGTAAAATAATATGGGTTTGTATCGTTTGATCTTATGCTCCGATGTAAATAACATATACTTGTACGGACCATCGATCACAGTAATTTCTTTTACTAATTATGAATTAATAAGTCTAACAAGTTCAATACTACTTGGTTCGTATGAATGTGGCATTAAATTGACAGATCCGTGGCCACCATATCGCTAAATTGGATCCACTCGGCATCAACAGCGCTGATCTTGATGATAGACACCCACAAGAGTTGCTCTATAATTATTATTCATTCGGTAAGCCCATATGAAAGTGTCTTTGCATAAATTAAAAAGAAAATAAAGATACTCTGTGACGCACTTTAAGTAATATGTATGTATACTATCACTATAGTATTAAAGCTAGAAGCCAATTGGACTGCTAGTAATAAGCAGCATATTTACTTTCACTGTTCCTTCTACATACTACTACTTTGAACTTATTCACATCAGGCATTTGTGACTTCTTTTATCTCTGCTATTATGTTTATCATATATTCCACTATCATACTTTCTTCCTGGACACAAAGTACAGCGTTTATCATGTAAGAAAAAGAAATTCCAAGTCTTTGTAGCATTTTCGAGATAGGCAAATCAAAGAGAAATAGTGTAATTTATATGTAGTCACATTTGAGGACAAAACGTTTTCCTTTAATATATAAAACGAAGAATGCTCGTATGACATTCGCTAAAGTATTTATTCAGTTCAAGTCTAATGTCCACAGGGAAGAGAGCTCGTACTACTTACTCTCAGGAACTACAATACCGAGTAGCTGCACTTATGAAAAGTATGTAATAAACACAATTTAATTGGGAGTTCTGTTTAAAACTCTGTGAGGTATTAGTATCTTTGGAAGGGGCGCTGATTCGCTATGGGATCACATGAGAATTGGTTTTATAGGCAAACTTTTAAGGTGCTTGGGTCTTCCATATATATATTGATTACAAGTTTGTTACACTCTGCTGTAAATATGTTTGTGCCAGGAATAACTTTTAAGCGTTTTCCTTTTGGAAGAATTAGAGGAGGTACAGTGAATAAGTAATCATCATTATCATAACATTCCATACCCAGTAATGATAAGAATTACATTCTGTTATTATTTTAGAATATTCATTTTAACTACCTCTTTGGCTTCCTCTTATTAAATTTCTTTGTATTTTCTTTGTATATTGTGTGACAAGTGATATATGAGTCAGTCCTATTTGTATCTACTACAGATTTATATTAGTTCTTTGGTTTTGTTACTGTTTGTTTCTACTAATGCTACTTTAATGAAATTCACAGCTTTGCATTCTATTGAAATTCCTTTTTTTCAGTCTTCTATTTTGTTTCCTACTTTGACAAATATTATGAAGGTTTGTTATATGCGTCTAGCAATTCTTTCGGACGTTATGCATGTTAATAATATCTGCAAACAATTAGTATACATACACGAGCAACATTATTATGAACACTATTTGCGTACCGTATTGTTTGCGAATACACGAGATATACCGACTTTTTGTACCAGATCTTGTTCATATACTTCTATATTATATCAAATGCCAATTTTCTTTTCATCATCTTTGGCTTCAGTTTATAGCTCACATTTTCAGTATCAGTTTCCAAATATGTACTTGTGTTCAATGATATCTAAGCAAAACATTAGTATAATGTCTAAACACAGTTCTTCGATGATCAGAGAATGATCCATAATCGTTGGAGTGCTACTTTTCCATACAACATGTAAAACAAACTATATAATACTAAATGTCACAGTTTTCATGTATATGATAAACGTGTGATATTTCAGAAGTGTTGTAATCGTATTCATCTTGAAACTATGGCATTTGCGTTATGTGTACGTTGATCTATCTGAGCACGAGACGTGGCGAATATTTTATTGTTAAATTTCTGCAGAGGAGTCGGACATGGATCGCATTTTCAAGCTGCCATCCACAACCTTTATCGGCGGCAAAGATAAATCATTGCCACTCCGTGAGATCTTGAGTAGGCTGGAAAATGCATACTGTGGTCATATCGGTGTTGAGTTCATGTTCATCAACTCCCTTGAGCAATGCAACTGGATCCGCCAGAAAATGGAGACACCAGGCATTATGGAGATGACCAACGACGAGAGAAGACTCATCTTGGCCAGACTAACTCGTGCCACAGGGTACATTGAATAGTTCTCAAACATTTAAACCACCTATTTTATTTGCAACAATGAATCTGCTAACTGCTACGATCCAATTGTAGATTCGAGGCGTTCCTTGCCCGCAAGTGGTCATCAGAGAAACGGTTTGGACTGGAAGGCTGTGAAATTCTGATCCCTGCTATGAAGCAAGTGATCGACAAGTCTACTGAGTTGGGTGTGGAATCCATTGTAATGGGCATGCCACATCGTGGTCGCTTGAATGTCCTTGCTAATGTTTGTCGCAAACCACTGAGTCAAATATTCACGCAATTTGCTGCCCTGGAGGCAGCAGACGATGTAATTATACAATCTACTTTTATCCTATTTGATTAGAGAATTTCGTTTGGCTAATTCAAAATCTTCTAGGGCTCTGGTGATGTGAAATACCACTTGGGGACATACATCGAGCGTCTGAATCGCGTAACAAACAAAAATATCCGCTTGGCTGTGGTCGCCAATCCTTCTCATCTGGAGGCTGTCGACCCTATAGTGCAAGGAAAGACCCGCGCTGAACAGTTTTACCGAGGTGATGGCGAAGGCAAGAAGGTAGGAGACAGGTTTTTTGGCGTTGAATCCATTCTCTTGATACCTGTGTGAATGAGTCCTTTATACAGGTCATGTCCATTTTGTTACACGGTGACGCTGCATTCTGCGGACAAGGAATTGTCTTCGAGACAATGCACTTGTCCGATTTGCCTGACTATACCACCCACGGTACGATCCACATCGTTGTCAACAACCAAATTGGATTTACCACCGATCCCAGGCACTCACGGTCGTCGCCGTACTGTACTGGTAAGCCTGTTACAATTGTGAAGCGACATAGAGAGCCCTCGGATCCTGAAGTCTCGCTTGCATTGTACTGAAACATATTTTGTCGTTTTACAGACGTTGCAAGAGTAGTGAATGCTCCCATTTTCCACGTTAATTCCGACGATCCGGAGGCTGTGATGCACGTCTGCAAGGTCGCCGCTGAGTGGAGGGCAACTTTCCACAAGGACGTTGTCATTGACATCGTATCCTACAGGCGAAATGGTCACAATGAAATTGATGAACCGATGTTCACGCAACCACTTATGTATCGCAAAATTAAGAGTACCCCACCAGCTTTAGATAAGTACGCTAAATCGCTGATCAGTGATGGTGTTGTTACCGAGGAAGAAGTAAAGGTACTAAAATGAATATTTCAAATAAATGATCATCTGTAATGAAATAAATACACGATTATTATGATGCAGGATGTTAAAGATAAGTACGAGAAGATCTGCGAAGAAGCGTACACTAATGCCAGACAGGAGACGCATATCAAGTATAAGGACTGGTTGGACTCTCCGTGGTCTGGTTTCTTCGAAGGCAAGGACCCGTTAAAAGCATCTCCCACCGGAATCAAAGAGGACACTTTGGTTCACATTGGCAAGAAATTCTCTTTGCCGCCTCCAAATGCTGCTGAATTTGTTATTCATAAAGGTGCATTGATCGAATGAAGAAGTTTCAAATGGAATGATGTGAAATTATTTTTATGTACTAAATTGCTGATCATATTTCAGGTATTGAACGTATTCTGAGGGCACGTTTGGAGATGGTTGAGGCGCGAACTGTTGACTGGGCTCTTGGAGAGGCTATGGCCTTTGGATCCCTCCTGAAAGAAGGTATCCACGTTAGACTGTCGGGACAGGACGTGGAGAGAGGAACTTTCTCACACAGACATCACGTGCTTCATCACCAATCTGTGGACAAGGCTACTTACAGACCATTGTGCTACCTTTACCCCGATCAGGCCCCGTACACTGTCTGCAACAGCTCGTTGTCTGAATTCGGTGTGCTTGGTAAGTGCAATGGAAATTCAGTTATACGCTTCTGATTACAATAATATATAGATTTAGATCTTAAATTAAATCATGTGCTCTTATGAATTTCCAGGATTCGAATTAGGGTACTCCATGACGAACCCTAACGCGTTGGTATGTTGGGAGGCACAATTCGGTGACTTCAACAACACGGCACAGTGCATAATCGATCAATTCATCAGTAGTGGTCAAGCGAAATGGGTCCGTCAATCTGGTCTTGTTATGCTCCAGCCTCATGGGCTTGAAGGAATGGTGGGTTAATTATCGGATGTACTTTAAGATCCACTGTAGTTGACAAACAAATTAATCGTTAAATGATTGCTATCTTAGGGTCCAGAACATTCGAGTGCTCGGTTGGAACGCTTCCTCCAAATGTCCGCGGACGACCCAGACTATTTCCCACCGGAAAGTGAAGAGTTTGCAGTTCGCCAGTTACACGACAGCAACTGGATCGTTGCCAATTGCAGTACACCAGCGAACTACTTCCACATTCTGAGAAGACAGATCGCGTTGCCGTTCAGGAAACCGTTGATCCTGATGACACCGAAGTCATTGCTTCGTCATCCAGAGGCCAAATCCAGCTTCGACTTGATGACTGAAAACACAGAGTTCCTCAGACTGATACCTGAAGAAGGTCCGGCAGCTCAAAATCCCAATAGTGTTAAGAGAGTAATATTCTGCTCTGGCAAGGTCTATTATGACTTGAAGAAAGCACGTGCAGAGAAGAAACTCGAAGACAAAGTCGCTATCGCAAGAGTTGAACAGGTAAATGGGACAACTGTTAGATCGTAAATTCTACGCGTTTAAGGCAACATATTTTGTTAGATTTCTGCTTCTGTCAATTGATGCAAAAAATTCATTGAAATTGATTTTCCTCAGATCTCACCTTTCCCGTACGATCTGGTGAAAAAGGAGGCTGCTAAGTATGCCAATGCAGAACTGATTTGGTCTCAGGAAGAACACAAGAACCAGGGTGGATGGACGTATGTCCAACCCAGATTCCATACAGCTTTGAACGGAACTCGTTCTGTAACGTAAGTGTCAAACAGCTACAATCAAGTCACGATTGTTCCATGTACAAACTAAAGAATGTACCTATAGTCTGTTCTACCAGAAGCACCTTTGGTTTCTGAAAAACAGACTATAACAACAGATTTAAGTAGAAGATTCTTTATTTTTTGTGTTAATTTTGTTCATCACATTGCTTTTATTTGTGTCCCGTTCACACCGTCCAACCAATTGAGCATTAGAAACAACAAAAAATTTGCATTTTCTCTAAATCTGATGAGAGTGTAAATGCAAAAAGTTCTGGATCGGTTTGTCACTCGTACTTGATTCTATAATTTTGTCAGTCTCCTGCATTTAGCTGTTCACATGGCCCACGATTTTTACTTTCTTGTACAGTCTTGGTAGACTCAGTGGTAACACGAATACGTGACACGCTTTAGCACGAAATCAATCAGTGTTGAAATGTTGAGACAATTTCTGCGTGTTCCTTTTTTTATTTGTCTTCTTGTTAAGCAAAGTAAAAACTTGGGCCATGTTGCAGCACTGGAAGTGCACCGGTCAAGAGTGACGGTAGCGGAGGGTGGTTTAGTGGTTGGTTTTCGTCAGCTAAACCAACAACAACGAGTACACCCGAGCCACAGTCAGTAAAATCTGATAAACCCGAACAGAGAACAGTGAGGTAATGCTACTGCTACCGTTTGAGAAGTTTCTCTAGTCTTTAAATATCTTTGAGAACAGAATCGACGAGTGTATCAGTCTCAAACTCTGTGGTCCTGTTTACCAATCTTCAGAAAATGTCGATAAATTTTTAAAGCAAATATAGAACGACATCTAAAAGTTTCTAATTTAAATAAGAATTGAACATATGTTGAAAACACGTGACAATTTTCAAGTTCATTGGAGGGTTGGTTTTTTAGATAATGGGAGATATCTCAAACGAGTTAAATTTCGAAGTTCTATTCTAGTAAATGCAGATATCAGTTGGTAAATTTGAGTACTTAATAGTTTACTTACTATTTGACGATTCTTATTGTGTATTGCAGATACGTTGGTCGCCCGACAGGAGCTTCACCAGCGACAGGAAGCAAAATGCAGCACCTAAAGGAGTTGAAACAAATGCTGGACGACTCTTTCGATGTCTAAATACCCTTCGTAGCACGATGTAGAACACACATTTTATTTATTTTCCTACATTACATATTTGTTCTATTTCCTTTTGTCCTGCTCTACATACACCGTCGCAGAGACTATCGTAGCTTGAATATTTTCTCCATTAATGTATTATTTATAGAATTAACATCGGCGCGAATTTTTCCTCGATGACGATTCGTAATTAGGCTTCTTTACAAAACTGTACCTACGTTGTTGCAATGAGTGATTCATGTAAATGTATGCATTTCGTTCTCGTTAAATGTTTGAATGTGGTTCTGTACATTTTTCTTTTTTAAGACACGTGACATATTTATATTAGTATGCGAGTTGAGTGCTGAGCCAGGTGTATGTCTGAGTCTGCAGAGGTCTTTTGTTATGCAAACATGTATCGACAGTCAAAGCAAATTACATTGATACGAAAAATTGACCGCCATGTTTTGCTCATTGTTAATGATCTGTTCGACACGATTCATAAATGGAAAAAAAACAATCATTCGCATCGGTCGGAAATGTTCGCGCATTGTCTTGTATTTTATTTTGTTAATACGTCGATAAAAAAGTAACGATTAATATACAGGAGAGCGAATAAGAAGAAAGTATTATTTTTAATTTATACAAAACGACTTTACGCGGAGCGTAAATGTTTTACCACGACTAGAATATTGCGAATTGCGGAGACCTTGGTGAAACTTTTCGAGGTTTCTGTGCCGGGTACATACGGCGACATTTTTTTTCTCACGATTTAATTAACGCCGTCGCGATAGACAGCCAATCGATTTAATTTTTTAGCCTCGCTCTATTTTTCAATAAAAAATTAAATCATTGGTTGGAAGCTAGACTCATTGAAAGAGATCGCGTTCGCTGCGTTAGTCTGGATTACGTAACGCTCAGTTCGATTCGGGCTCCCACTAATTAATAAAAGTTAGTGGGAGGTGAGAAGATAACAAGTTGCGTGAACGTGGTCGAGGCGCAACGTTGCCCTTCGAAAAGTTTCAACAATCTCTCCGTTCTGTGGCGGACGGCGACAGTAGGTGACAAATTGCTAGCGTGTAGCGATTATCTAGACTAATTTAAATGTAATTATAATACCTGATGCCAACGGCACTCGCTGGTTGGTTGCTGCATTGTCTGCGAAGGCACACAGTATTTATATTCTTCTACGTACGAATCGTTTGAACGGTGAATTTTGTGATTGGAATATCTGTCGTACCGTGTTATGTTGATTGGAAAATATTGTATCGACACTAAACCTTACTAATGAAGGAACCTGCTTGAAGTCCAGAAAATTTTCTCAACGTACCCGCGAGAGGCATGCGCAACGATAGTATTGCGATACTGAAACCTGCTAGGATATCCATAGATGCAATGTGGTCCAATGACAACGACGGTATTGTTATTCCACTTGTCATTAGTTTTTGTTATTATATGCATAATAACGATGAGTCGGATTGTGTATAATTCAGGAATAAAGATTAGGTTGAAGTCGCTGCCGGAACAACCAATACCCGGATTTTTATTTTACCGTGAGCGCTTCGACATCACGAAATTGTAGAGCCTTTTTAATGAATTAAATTGTGTTAACTATTGTCTGGTATTTATTAATAACTATGATTTCAACGTGTTCTGTTAACAGTTGCTTTCGGATGTGACTGGATACTCTGCAAGGTGAACTGATTTAGGGAAACTTCAAGAGGAAAGAGTTTGCGAATGTATTTACTAACTCTCGCTTTATCATTTCGATTATATTAAATTGCTGTTCTGTAGTCGACAATCTTATTAACGTTTATTGCATCATACAATAAATAAAATTATATACGTACAGATATATATATATATATACATATATATTTGTGTATTATAAATAAGATATATTTATAGGATCAGTTCGAGGGTGATAATTAATAATCAGTTTGTCCCAGCACACTGTACATAATCCTCTTGAAGCTGTTACTCTGGTGGATCTTCTCGCCGTCGTCTTCGAGGACAGTTACCTGGAACGAAAATGCAAGTATCACACAAACTGCACCCCTGGTAAAAATTCTCTGCATTAGAAGCTACACAGGCATTTATTCGTTTTCGTATTAATTTCAATGAATTGGCAACAAGGCAACATTGTTTTTACTTTACTGCATTTAATATATTATAACTAAACTGTCGACTTTTCAGGTGAACGACCCTGTATTTAATTTTTAATAAATCCTGAAACAGTTCTTTTAACAATCATGTTCACAATTCTGATCGCATAGTTTCTTCGGCAGAAATGGTTTAACATAAATCAAACAAGCTATGGTTGTTGTAAATATTGTACAATAAGCATTTATACTCACATATGGCGCGGGACTCTTCGGCCGGGCATACTGTACCTGAAATCATTGTTCCCAGAAGTGAGAAGAACTTCGGCAATAAAACTAACCGTTCTATACTTCATTGGAGGATATAATGATAGGAAACGCGTACCCTGTTTTGATAAACCTTTTGTGGGGAGAAAACACCGGTGCGCGCCGGTTGTTTCACTTCCTGCACTGTGTCTTCGCCTTCCTCTTGCAGTGCCTTGTAGGCCTCGCTCTTGCTCGGATCGTACTTCATCGGTTTCTTCTGTCTGTATTGTTGTACCGCATGTGCACACATGCCATTTTTAATCGATTTACTTGTTTGTTCGTGTTACTTTGTTGTGTGATGATTCTGTGAAATCGGTTAGCAGCAGCCACAGGGTGTTATATCGCCAAGACCGTTGGTTCGAGAGAGAAAGAGAGCCGTTGCCTATTATGTACTCTGAATTCCGAGCATTACTTCCCGTGATTCGTTAATCCGTTTTTCCTCCTCATGTTCAACCTTTTAAAGTTCATCCTCGCGAGAGGGTGATTTCAATGAAATGCGAGAGAGACAGGTCTAACGCATGTACTTCACACATATTCTTCTCTTTTCAATTGTCCATGATAAAGGGGTGAAAACAAGCCCCAGGAATGTTTCTAAACTAATAAATTCACTATAGCAAAGTAGTACTGTACAATCTAAAGAAACTGTAGAATCTAAAATAAGATTTTAATTCTTAGGATGTTGAAAGTAGAATGTGTGCTAAATATTTGGATTTAGGAGCTATTTTTCTTAAAAATTAAAAATTACTCGATTTACCAAGTAGGTGTAATTATTCTCCTTTAACTGATTAGGATATTAAAAGAAAGATGTGTGTACAATTTTTGGACACAAGGGTACTGTTTTCTATTCGTTTGACACGGATCGTCGAGAATAAGGAATACGTGTCAAGTAATTTGTCTAGAATGATTTTTCTCAGTACATTTCTTCGAGATCCGAATTCGGGGTACGGTCCATAATTCTCGGGTAGTCGCTAAGCAATGTCGAAATTAGTAAGACCTCTGATCTCCACGTAACAGTTTTTACTACGATTAATGAATTATTGATTATTATTATCTATTCTACAGCATGCAAATAGTACCAGACTGTTATTTTACAAACTTTCGGCGGGGTTCGTCTCTTAACTACCCTTGTCGGTTCGGGGACCGCCACGCAAACCGGAAGCACGCTTCAAAATTCCTAGATACAATCTACAAACGATAGAGGGTAAAACCGATCGAACGATGTGATCGCCGCTGCGAATTAAACGATTATTGTAGAACGCGCGAGAAACATTTGAGAAGCAACGTCGAACCCGTCAGAGAATATCAATCAATTAATTATTCGGCTTATTGAATTGCGGCCACACGTTCTTCGAGGAGGCGGCCTGGGCCTGCTCCTTCAAAAGTCTCGCCTGCTCCTGTATTTCTTGTCTCTGTTTCACGAAGGAAAAGTCTATGAAAATGCTGCAAAACAAACAAATCGCACGTCAATGTGATCCATTCGCATTAGACATGATCGCTTAACAACCGAACCGCGTTGTCCCGTTGATCCCGGCAGCCTACCGATTCTAGATCAATGATCCACGGCCGAGCAAAGGATCGATCCCGATTGCCGATCGTCAGTATTATTAGTGATCGAGCCATGCGTCGCACAGTTTAACCAAATTTTGATTCACAGTCCTTACTATACAGACCTCTTCGAGAAGCTTTGAACAATTTATTCCAGCGTTTCACCAGCATCTATTGTTCTATGCGTATAGTATCTCTGCGTATTTCATACTATCTATAGTTCTAAATTAAGCTAAATTAATCAATCAATTATTTAGTAGCATTAAACAGCGACGATCTCCCTCTAACAAATTATTTTTGTCAAAGCTAGTAGTATCGCCCGTTACTGCTCAGCCAACCCTAAGCGAACGCTGGAATAATAATCGCCGAAGTACGCGGCTCCTCCATAAAAGAATCTGATCAATAAGAACCGTATAGCTCCTCGAAACTCTGATTAAATATTATTCTGTGATTCGTATCGTGCAGCGCTCGTTAGTGAGATGAATTGTCAGAGAGATTACTGATTCGCGTTTTAGAGTTAATTGTCGGATGAGTCGCAGCATTCAGCAAAAGGAAAACCCAGTTCGTATTAATGACTAAATTAACTTGATTATTCTAATGCACGCTCCACGAATGATGCGGTCTCTCCTTTGAGCTCGAAAATTAGGATTGTTTATCTGTTACTTACGGTATTGCGGACGCTTGGCATTTGATGGTGTCAGCGATATTCTGTTCGGAGTAGAGGCCGATCGGTGAGTTGAATTGCTTGTGGACTACCTGTGAGAATCGGTTGAGCGATTCAATGAGCCAGATATAAATTTGTAGTAGCATAAATTAATTACAATGCCGGAAGTGAATGCGACAGTCGCGTTTGTCGTACTCGATCCGGTAAGTCATATGTTTACTATTAGGAACTCGTTACGCACTCGACAAGGTTTCATATCAATTTTTGTACATTGTATTTCTAGCTGTTCGTCAATTTACAAATCAAATTCAAATTCTACGTTTCTTTTAACTTAGAAAAGAAGTATCTTTCGTTTAATTTGACTTTAGAAGCAGAGAGAGGCGCTGAACTTTTTCTACAAATAATAATCACTGGAAATTATTAGATTACGAACGGAGCGATTTACTAAGAAAATCATTAGCTGTAAACCGCAGATTTTAAGAAAAGTAATGAATATAAGGGTGTAAATAGATGATTCAAAATTCAGTTTCTTATTCGGTATGTAAATAGTTAAAACGAAAGAAGCGTTATCGATTCGCAAAATAAATCTGATCATAAATTATGTTTTTCATTGTTAGAGCTTGATCATCAGAAGCGGAAGCGAAAGCGACTCTAGAATAAATTGGTCCAAACCTTTGGAACTTCGTTCGGTCCCAAGACACGCTGAAGTACCGTTTCCGCCACCTAGTTGAACGTTTCATGGATAAATATTTGTATTTACAAGTCGCTACGTTTAACTGTGTGACAGCGATGAGCGTTCTTTTCTTTTTCTTACAAGTCAACTATTTTCTCTTTTTATTTTTTTTTATGTTTCTTAGGATACCACGTACCTTTTGCTTCATAGCAATATCGGGATGAGCCTGTTCGTAATGGTGCGGAGCCGCCCTGATCATGGGATTCGGATGGTGACGTAGGTAACATTCTCCAAGGGGAGCATCCTTCTTGACCTTAGCACCTGGCAAGACCAGAGGAGTCGTACGGTATGGCTAAAAAGATTAATACTGCTAATTAACGTAATGATAAATACCGTCAATATTATAACAACTACTGCTTGTCCCTATTTTAACAAACAGATTTATTTGTTTAGTAGATATTCCTGCCCTTTCTAACTTTTTTCTTTAATTTTTTATATACATCTGTTGGTTCCTAGTGAAAATCGTTTTCAAAAAGCAGTCGATTCTTGTAGTATCGAGGCAAAAAAAAATGAGATATTCCATTAATTTTCAGTCAAATGAATATTTCTGAATGAGATTGTATGTAAGGCACGTAAACATCCGTGATCGTGATTGTTTCACGTCCTAATTAAGACATCGGCAGCCAGATTAGCATAATTAACGAATCGCGAACGCCGAAATTATACCGAACGTTCTTGATCGGATAGGTAGGCGTGCGGAATCCTCTGCCAGAATGGTGTCAATTACCGGCTAACGGAATCTAAAATAAACTTTAATAGAGGCCATAGTGATCGATGATGCCTCATTAGTTCTCGACAACGTTGCGATAATGGAGGCCGGCCTGCATTTATGAATCCGACCGAAAATAAGTCGGTGATAACTCGGACGACGTAATATCGGGCCTGTTCAGTGTTTTTCACGTTCGTTGATCGCGATCAAAGCGTGCTTTCCCGACCGCGTAATACTCTATTTCAACTCTGTTTTAACTTTGTTTTCACTTTCTCTTAACTTTGTTTCAAGGCTGTCGTTTCGCGTCTCGCTCGGCCATCCCTTATCGCGAACCTCTCGATACTAGACCAATCTTATTGAACTTCCGTAACAGTTTTCAAACGGTGTGTATACATATTCTGTATATATAAAATGAAGTGCATACATCATTGCTAAAAATGAAGTAGATACGTTCTAGCTAAAGAATTAAGTACATACATTATTGCGAAAGAACGAAATACATACGTTCTAGCTAAAGAATTAAGTACATACATTATTGCTAAAAATGAAGTAGATACATTCTAGCTAAAGAATTAAGTACATACATTATTGCGAAAGAACGAAATACATACTTTCTAGCTAAACAATTAAGTACATACATTATTGCGAAAGAACGAAATAGATACGTTCTAGCTAAAGAATTAAATATATACATACATTATTGCGAAAGAACGAAATACATATGTTCTAGCTAAAGAATTAAGTACATACATTATTGCGAAAGAACGAAATACATACGTTCTAGCTAAAGAATTAAGTACATACATTATTGCTAAAAATGAAGTAGATACATTCTAGCTAAAGAATTAAGTACATACATTATTGCGAAAGAACGAAATACATACTTTCTAGCTAAACAATTAAGTACATACATTATTGCGAAAGAACGAAATAGATACGTTCTAGCTAAAGAATTAAATATATACATACATTATTGCGAAAGAACGAAATACATATGTTCTAGCTAAAGAATTAAGTACATACATTATTGCGAAAGAACGAAATACATACTTTCTAGCTAAACAATTAAGTACATACATTATTGCGAAAGAACGAAATAGATACGTTCTAGCTAAAGAATTAAGTACATACATTATTGCGAAAGAACGAAATACATACGTTCTAGCTAAAGAATTAAGTACATACATTATTGCTAAAAATGAAGTAGATACATTCTAGCTAAAGAATTAAGTACATACATTATTGCGAAAGAACGAAATACATACTTTCTAGCTAAACAATTAAGTACATACATTATTGCGAAAGAACGAAATAGATACGTTCTAGCTAAAGAATTAAATATATACATACATTATTGCGAAAGAACGAAATACATATGTTCTAGCTAAAGAATTAAATACATACGCGATTGCTATAAAATGAAATAGATACATTCCGACTGAACATAATTGTTTGAATGGCACAAGGCAGCGTCAGACTACCATATTTTTGAAGAATGATACAATTTTATTGGCTACGTGTTAGTCGAAACAACGGAAACAATTCGCCCGGAAAGATGCGGGCCCCATTTTTTGCACGCTTATAGGAAAATTCGGGTGTGCACCCGAGCGCGGTAGCGTTTCGCGTAAATAACCGTTGTGGCGAAATGGCAGAAGCTGGCGATAATTTTGGCGAGACCGTTACAACCGGAAGCGGCTGCGTCTCGCTCTTGTATATCGCTGGATGGCCGGCGCAAAAACCGTCTAAAATTTCATCGGTTTGGCTCGCGGTTCCGAAAACACAATGAGAGAGAGAGAGAGAGAGAGAGAGAGAGAGATCAGTGAAACACAACGTTACGGATCTAAACGTTTGCCAAGCGTACGAGTTCGGTCCATTATGTCAGCTGCCACTGGTGTTCTGCGCGGAATTACGAAATTATTGGAACCACGGGGACCAGCATCGTGCGTGTATTGTACCTATATTAATTCTGCTAAGCGGCGATCGGTAACGATCTTCCACTCGAGCGTCAACGACGCGCTTGTTCCTCGTGAACTTCTCGCGGTAACAAAAATGAGAATGTCAACGCTGCGCAAAAAGAACGCGAACGACCGGGATAAAGTTACCCAGGTCGTATTTATAAGACCGGCTCGCGAGAATAGAAGATCTTTCGTCGGATTCGCCATTGATTTTATTTGGAGCGCGGATCTTGGATCTCCTTCGGTTCGATCCGATCCGATCCGATCCGATGCAACCGCCGATTTTCTGCGAAGCGATCGCGAGGATTCCATTACAAATGGGTCAGGAACATTATTTTCACAGGGTGAGCAACAGTGACTCTCTCTCGAAATAGACGAAGGCCCCAACCCGGCAAAAATAACGTGCACCCCGTCCGCCATGAAATCTGTTCTGTCGCGGTAAATGCTTGTCAATATATCGTCAAACCGGGCCGCTGAGCTTCGACAGTGCCTGCTGACTATCGACTCTCAGCAAACTGGACAATACATTTCTTCTAAACCATCTCTTCCATGCAATCAATGATAATTAAATAAGCAATTGTAATATATTCATCTCCTTCGAAGCCTTCCTATATGTTACAGAACCTAATACAATGAATATGTCAGCGCAAAATTGTTGAAATTTCAAAAATTGTGAAGGAAAGGTACCAATGGTACCCATTTTCATCGGAGTTCATTTGACGTAAGAGAATTTATGTGACTGCTATCGAAAGACTCGTTTCACGTCGAATTTACATTCTGACAAAATATTCGAGGAAAATGTTTATCTAAATTATTCGTGAATTGGTATCGACGTGGAGTGCTTTACGCGCCCCGTAGTAGATGTGATAATTTAATGGAGGAAGCTAGCCGATCGCGTCACACTCTGTTACAGATATGTCCCCGAACTAAATCGAGTCGCGACGAAACAGCTGTTTCGTCGAATGTTTACGGCTTGGCTCGAGGCACGGCTTACCGAAACTTGAACTCTAGATTTTCTAGAACTTTTGTGCACGCCAAGGTATCTCCACGTACGAAAACACAAAGGGATGGCGTCATTTAAAAAAAAATTGAATCCAGATCCGCCGATCTGTTTCGGTCTTCGGCGATCTTCGATCGAGCCGCTCGAAACGACTACATTCGTCAAGATTACCAGCATTTTTGTTTCTCTTTACTTTGGAAGAATCTCTAGGTGGTCGACACAAATTTTCCATTTAATCTGCTTCCCGCAAAACGGTCTGCGAAAATAGAAATTTGCATATAGATCCACAATCTAGCGATGATACTATTTCTATTTTAAACTTGCACATCTTCCAGTTTTTCGCGCTTGACAATATGAGTCGATTCGTCAGGCTTACAGCTTTGTTTCGAAATGAGGAAATACTCTCGCATCGCTAATAAAAACAGTTCAAGAGAAAATACGAGCTAGAGACTAGCTAATCCTAGTTATTATTCAGCAGCTTTATTCTCCTAGCAGCAAATAAATCGATGGGATCGGACGAAGACACGACTAATCCCAATTATCATCCTCTGAGCAATAAATAAGTCTACGGAATCAAGCATTTTTAAAATAGAGACCTACAGAGTCGAGAGATTTACAAAAATTGAACCCGACCGGCGGACTCCCAGACTCAATTTACGAGGGTTCTTTTTTAACGTGCGACGAAAGAATTCACCGTCGAATTCGTCGCTTTCGGCGAGGAGGGTGTGGGTGTGTGTCGTTGTGTCGACCCTCTTCTGTTTGAGTAACCCAGATCTCGTTCACGAAAATAGAATAAGATACCGATGAACGGTTCGCCGTGGCGTGGTTACGTGCGTTTTATTGCATCGTGTTATTAGTCGGTCGAACCTGTGGCCCTTCTTTCGTCACGACTAGTCCCTCCGTACCGTCGCGATTCGCTCAGCCAGCCCCTGTTTGCCTCCGTAACGTCGCCGGGATAGGCATCGAGACCTAGTCCCACATTCGGAGACGGTGTCAAGGTTGGCTCGCGGCATTATTCGGAATCAAGATCATCTTACGTTACGTTCGTGGCTATTCGGACGTCTAATTCAGACTTGGAGAATTCGATTTGGTCACCTGGCGCGAGCTCTCGCGAAAATCGGCCGATTTTTCTGCACTGCGTGATTTATGGCAGCCTCGTCGCAGCTGGGGCCATTGTAGAACTAATTGGTCTCTTGTATAATGAAACAGAAATCTATATCGTTGGAGAAGTTACATCGTGATGTCATAAATAGATCAATTGTTTGGAAATGGAATTCAATAGAATCGTGCTTTCCGTGGGCCGAATGTTCGTCGATCGTTTTGTGAGAAATTTCGTTCGTCGATTAGTTCTCCTGACGCAATAATTCGAAGAACATTCGATCTTGTTAACGTACACGTTGTAATTCATGAATTTAGAATACGAAGTATCAAAAATATAAGTATCATGAATACAGAACTATCAAATATTATTGAATTTGTATCTATATACAATATTATGAGGAAATATATTATATGAAATAGATATATAAAATAAATTATATAAAATAAATATATTATTAGGAAAATAAGCTATAAACCCATAGTTTGTACTTGATGGTAAGAAAGGCTCGAAAAAGGTGTTAAGTTGTCTAAAACTTCGTGTGCGATTCGTCGAAATCCTTATAAAAGCGAAGAAGATTCTATGTGCAGCATCTTGTGCAAGCGTTCCCGGTTTAATCATAATATTAGTCGAGTTACATTGCGCAAGCCGCCCTTGATCTTAACAATGCTCCACCAGCAAATTGTGAAACGCATCGGACTGTAACTTCCCCGCGAAGACCCTGATCTTAACAATGATTCGCAAGGTGTAACTTCTCCAACGCCAATGAATCAGAACGATAACTTCACCGTGATCTATTTTCCACGGGAACAGTCACAATAGCTGTCCACCCCACCCCTAGCCTGCACATGTCATCCTTCCAAAATAATTGTGGTGGGGTGGACAGCTGTTTTAACCAGTGATCCTCGAGGAATCTCTGCCGAAAAACAAGGTAAGAACGTCATGGATCTGTACATACAACGTTGTGCAAGAGGCCACAAAGATCATTTCAGAGATCTCTAAAACGATTAAATTAGATCACAATTGTCTTTTGCTTCGAAGCTAGAAGACGTCTGTAAAGATCTTGGAAATCTCACGAGCTTTTAGAATCTGGTTGCACTAGATTTAAACGATAAACGAACGAACGAAGCGGAGTCCTAGTTGGAGAACGTTTCGAAACAGATCTTGACGAATCGATTTAAGGAGATCGATGATCACTGATCAAAGCACTCGTACCCAGTAGACGGCAGCCTCTTCTTCCTTGGGGTGGTGGTCGATGGTCTGACGATAAACGGTGGTGTAGGCCGGCATCGTTTCCTCAACGAATCTCGAGATTCCTGTATTCCTGCGGACGTTCGTCCGAGAACCGAGACACCTTTTTATTACGTAGATCCCTCCGTAGATCCTTCTCCTACGAATATTCTCTAACGCACTGGCTCGTTGCGCGGGCGGCACTAACTCTGGTCTTTTCCACGCGACTCCTCTCGCGCTCTTTCTTCTCCTCTCCCGTATTACCGACGTATCTCGATCACTCCTACGTTCTTCACCCTCTAGATCGTTCTATACGATCGCTTCGCCCTCGACCGTCCACCTCACCGCTCCTCGGAGCATCGTGTCGCGATCGCGCTGTTGTCCAAGTCTTCCACGATCGTTGAATCTTCTTCCTCTAATCCCTTCACGTTAATATTTCTTAAGCGCTACCCCAAAGCTTATTGAGTCCTTAATGATCTCGTTCCTTTGATCCTAGTTGCCGGGTGACTGGAATCATTCTTTTGTACCCAAATACCTCATGTTGTCGTTGAAAAGTTTTGTCGGGGAAAATTTGCCAAACTTTGTTCTAAAAAGTCTACGTGTATCAAACTGTTCTGCGCTGCGTTAACGATCTTGAGTATCGTATAAAAGAAATGGAATGATTCGAAGAGACATATTTACTGGCATAAATCTTCTTTAAACTTTGGTTTCGGATTTTGAAGAAATAAATAAGTCAATGGCACAAGACAGAATCGCATGCTTCGCAACTCCAGAATTTGTGGCCCATTGTGCAGAATAAAATTTTCCGGATACAACCAATGTATAGACAATATTAAATTGTACCAAGCTGTAGATTTACATTCCTTGAAAAATTTAAATATACAGAATGGAGTTTCTTTAGCAGTAGCATCCAGTAGGATGGCTTTGAATAACTTTTAAGGTCTGTGCTCGTTCGATTCCTTTATTTGTCGAGACTCAAAGTCAAACAATTAATCATTGTTCAATAAAGGTCCCTTAGGTCACAGTTCCTTGATCCTTCTGTAACAAACGATTCTTGATCCAAGATCAATGTAAACCATCGTCGACATTGTCTCTCTGCTCGGTACTACTATCCTTGAATCTTAAAAAAATCGTTGTTAAAAAGTTACCAGTGTGATGTCACATTCGACGACTATTGTACCAACACATCGTTGACGAGGCTCGAGAAAGTTATTTAATAGCTTCTTCCATTGTAAACATCGTTTCGATCCAAGAGTTGCTAATTTACCCCGTGGGAGTGCTTTCCTTGGCACTGCCCTTGATAAAACGTAGAATCATCAGCGTACTCCCTGTTGGAGGGCATTACCCATAGTATTATCGCTGAAGATGCTCAGGAGATTTATGTTACAGGCTACTTGTTCCGCAGTGAATGTAACGCTCGATCCAAGAGTTGCTAGTTTAATGCCTCGTGGAGAGTGTTTCCCTTGGCAGCAACCCTTCCCATACTAAAGTCAAGGTCAATCGTTTGCACCAAGGAAAAGTGATCACTGTGATCCGCGACCTCTAACCCAGCCCAATCTCCAAATCGCGTTCCATGAAATCCCAAGATCTCTCGAAAAAGAATCCCAGAAATCTAAAAGTTCAACACAATTAATTCACAATAATGACATCTACACGAGTTCGCAGTGTTCGATTATGCTAAATGAAACTACTCGGTCTTTATGAACGTCTCTATGAAGCTATAATCTTTTTTTCGTAATTTTGCAACGTTAAGAGAGCTTGCAATCGCAGAAAAGAGGTTCGCGGATGCAGAACCAGGATCGAACGTTCCTAAAGATCGTCCTGGATCGCGCAGCATTGGATCGTAGCAGTGGTTTCGATGCAGAAGCGATATTTATAGCACGTCGACTGGTTCTACGCGGACTTTCCGGCATCGTGGCGGCCAACAAAAATATATTCGCACTTCGGATGTCCCGCGAACGCGAACCAACGCGTCTTCGTCTTCGACTTCGAACTTCCCGCAAGATTACGCCATTCTTTTCTCGGCTGTTTCTTGGTCACGAGCCCGGATAATAGAATATATTACGAATTCTGACTTATTAGCTAGCTTTCCCAAAGTCCAGACAATCGCAAAAGCCAAGAGAACGAGATGCGAAAAGATTCCGATACACTCGTAAATCATCCGGCTATCGTCCAACATTGGCGCAGCAGTTGCACCTTCATGCTAATTTCTCTCGTCAAACTCTTGACATCGGAGTTACATAGTGACGTTTCCTGGCAACTCGACGTGCAAGAGATCCGTCTAGTTTGAAATAATCTCTTGGTTTTCCTGTCTCAGTCTTATTGCTGTACCAAATGAGCATTATGCGATTTGCATGGTTTCGATGGTTTCGATTCTCACAGTTGCCGTTTTCCACAAGATTCTTTCCCTTTTAAATCACATTCAATCTCGGGATGGCAAATGTGAAGCGCGTAGGTGATAAAACGTTTGGCACGGGTCGAAAGTGACCCAGCATTAGCTCGCTATGTCGACGTTTTCAATCAACATTCGAATAGTTAATAAAATAAGTATAAATTTTGGATGCGATCTAGAACAAAAATCTTCACGTAGAATTAAGATCTCGAACAACTTTGTAACTAAATGTGCTTGTTTTAAAATTTAACCATAATTAGGAAAGAACGGTCTCAATTAATACAGCCATAGGGTCGATCAAACGACCAGCTAGAACGCGCCAAGACAAACGAACGGAAAATCGTCCAAGTCTAAATCATCTAAAATCGTTTCAAATTCAGAAGCGCCGCGGACAAATGAATACCGGCGTGGTATGTCTAGTTAATAGCACAGTATCATTCCGCGGCGTAACGATGAACACCTGAGCCGACCATAGAGAAGCATCACGTCCAACAAAAGGACAGTGGAGTATGTACTCCGTGCGACAACCGTGCAAACGGATGGATTTACAACCGGACCGAAAGCTAGACACGACCGAACAAATAGTTTCCGTCTCTTCAACGAAACGTAGAAACTTGTAACTTAACGACCGTGCGTATAGCTCGCGGCAGTTGCAATGTAATTGCCCTCGCGTCGAAAGATCTTGCCATTTTCGTTATCTTATTACCAGAGGAAATAAATAGACCGTGCAATATTTTTGCAGTATGAATGCCAACGAAATTTTTCGAGCTTGTATTCCCTCACAAGAGCAATGCAGAATCTACCAAATATTCCAATTTTTAACCACCCCTGCCCTACGATTTCTTTCGCAAGATAAAAGTTTGCAGTTTAGTGAAATCTTGATTATAAAAAATTGATCGACCTAACAAGTTACTTAATGATTGGAAATTCTTTTGTCCAGAAAGAAGAAAATGGTACTCCAGTGAGTTTAAGAAAACTGTATCGAATTAACAAGGGACCAATAAAGGTGTCAGCTATTACGTCGCCAATTTTTCGCGACGTTTGACGTTAAGGAGAGGCTGTATTTACGGATCAACGAACTCTCCGAGAAGCCTAGGCGAACCAGGCCACGTTTATAAATTCGATTTCGGAAAGTAAATTCTCCGTCCGCTTCCTCGAGCCAAGCCATTAATAGAATAAATTGTAAGTGTGGTTATCGACATGATTCTAATGAACCAATTGATTCAGAGTCAGTTATTTGAACCCTATAAAAATTGTAGGAGAGCTCTTCTTGATTAACCAATCTTAGGGAATGAAAATATGAATGTTAGAATCGAAAGATCTAATTGTACACGTATCTTGGTAGCTGCTGAAGCTGTGAAAATACTCTCAATACTAACGATGTGAATTTTTTAACAGGAAATCTAGCAGTACAAGCAGATCCGACATTTTCAACATTCTTTCGTTCAAATATCTGTTTCTCTGCTTTCCTTTGACAATATTCCTGTAGCTGAAACAATTTCCAAGATCTCAAGTCCTAATATCTGGACTTTTTCAGTGCTGCATCAAGGTCTCGCAGACAGAAAAATTATGAACACAATTAACCCCTTGCACTACGATTTCTGTCACAGCTACGTTGATTAGCACTTCTTCGTTCTCAATAATTTCCCTAATAGACAGTTTTATTTTCTCGTATGTCTTCATTTCTTTTCATCCTCAGATTATGAGGATGAAAGAATTATTGAAGAATCAATTTGTCTTTTTATTTGTCTTTAATTTAGATTAAATCTTTATGACTCGTTGTTGCAACGCAAAGGGTTAAGAGTGTAATTTTGCAAAGAACGTTCATCGACAATGTAGTACCTGCGACAATGTCACTCTCTCCTGTCGAATCTCATCGAGATGATCATGGGGCACGTATGGTTCCAACGGGGTCGCGGGCCGACTGTATTCGTCGATACCTGGCGGCGGCACTGGGCTCTTCGGCAGTTGTTCAGGTATCTTTGGCGGTCTTGGTCTGCGACGGAACAGTAAAGCATCTTATTAACGAGATAATGCGGCAGACACATGTGCGAGGAATGCTTCGATGCAGCTCGACAACCACTTTTCCCGATCGCGGGGCTATGTTTATGATGCACAGTGCAATTTGTTGCATCGCGAACGCACGTGCAGCGCCCGAAAATACAGCCATGTTTCAAATTAAGTCACGCGTTAGGAGGCACACGAAGCTTGCTTTTAGCTGGAAGTTAGGCGAAATCGACGCGAGAGAATGAATCAGTACACAGTTGCGAACTGATGTTCCTTTCGATTTTGAGAGATTAACAAATTATTTCGACTCGATGGCGTTTACTGTCAGACGAATCTCCGTTTCAGAGTTTTTTAAAGCGACGTTTATTAAATATAGAGCGGATTAAAATTATGCCAGTATTTGAATAGAAAGAAGTAATTGTTCCAGACTGCATATTGTCAACAGACAATACAGTGCCTGAAAAAAATTGTTCTTTTCTATTCCAGTGTTAACAGAATTTTTATATATCCTGTATAAGAATTACACAAAACTAATAGGAAATAGTTAAATGAAATATCACTATTTTCAATGAACTTTGGAAACTTTCGCACTGAGAAAACGGGAACATTTTCGCACGTTAAGGTAAAGCTGTCACGACCATTTCGTTCACAAAAGTCTACGTTTCTTTAGCGTCTTCGATCAAGCAGAAATTCGTGAAAAGAATTATAATATATATAATAATCATATATAATATATAATATATAATATATAATAAATATATATAATAATAATTATAATATATATAATATATATAATATATATAATATATAACGATAGAACTTCTTGACGATGTTTAAACAAAATATTGTCGTGACAGTGGAAAAAGTGGTTGTCGAAAAGATGATTCGAGCTGTTAATGAGGCGCTGCGATTAATGCGAGGGAGCATGAAGAAGAGGTGGAGGCAGGGTTTAGTGTGAAAATTTAATAGTGTTGTCACAGAGCGGCAGTAGCGCGGCGGTTAGCGACACGACAAACGGTGCGCATAATAGAAATATATAAAGGTGGAGAATGGCTTTCTGACAGACTAGTGACCGCAGCCCTGTTGCCAATGCTCGGCTTGATAATCGGAGGTGACTTGGTAATGTTGATACGAGATGCACTCGACGGCTCAGACCTTTCGACTACAAGCTTTATAGATTCAGAGGTTTGAAGGAGTTTCTGGGCGTCTACATGCCTCACGTCTCGCACGTCGTACTCGTCGATTTTCTTGATCACATCACCCCTCTGGAGCGCCTCGTTCTCCGACTGCGAACAGAACATTATTTCCTCCGTTAGAGCTCGCGACGTCTCCTCTTTCAATCCTTCGCTGACGAGCTAATTTAAAAAAATAAGCTGCCCCGACAAATTAACAGAACGCTAAATTGTGAACGAAAAAGTGTTGATCTTTGAACTTGTGCAGCTTCGAGGAAAAAAATGTTGAAATATTTGATGCAGCTGAGCGTGAAAATAGAGACTCGAGCATAGACAGAACATTGTCAGATTTTGTACAGGAAGTTATAGAAGTTCAAAGTTCGACGACTTTTCGGTCATAATTTAGTGTTCCTTTAATTTTGTGGGACAGTTTATTTTTTCTGAGACAACTAGAGCAAGTTTTAATGCCTCAAAGGGTTAGCACTAAATATACCTAATATTGGTCCATGAAAATAATAATAAGATTGTAAACTTTCTATCACACAGAACTTTGGAGAGTGAAGTTCAAGTTAGCATAAGCATTGCTTCTCTTCTATTAGTACTTTATTCAGTCTTTGTAGCTAACGATAAGATTTTCTTTCATAAAATATTAAAGAATATAAAAATATACGAAGTGTGTATAATTGTCTTCAGAGCGATCCAGCAATTCATACACAACGTCAACTGTGACGATTTCATTTTACCGATCAGAAAGAATTCTTGCAGTAACCTGTCCGATCATCTCACATTTTGCAATGCAAGAAAATGTTCCACCGCATTCGGTTAATTTTCGACTAATTATGTGTAATTGTTGGAGCACTCTGTAACTTACGCAGTCTACATTCTAATTTAATGGGGCAAGTCTTGGAAACACACGAGCCTGAATAACGCCGACAATTTCACTCGAATTCGCACTCGCAGAAAACAAACAGTTAAAGTGAGGATTAGAAAAAGACGGGGACTGATAGATGCGGTAATGCACGATTATGCGTTAACGATCAACAGCTTCTGGACCGGTTCCAAACGTGTTTATGGCCCCTCCTTTCTGTCTTTGGCGATCGTGCCAAAAAGAATTCAGCCGAGACGATCGTGAAGATGCACGAGATTAGGGCGCACGTGACAGGTGGATGCGAGAAACGTATTACAGGGAACGATACCGACGCCTGTAATTTAGTCGTGAACAAAATGTAGCGGAATCAATCAATTATTCGACAATTATCGATCGTTTTTATCGACCAAATCTCGAGCGTTTTCTCTATTCAATTTTTATCCTTTCAATGCTCCAACAATTGTATAATGCTTGTTTAAACAATCTGTCTAGTTTGCAAATCTTTTGTAAATTCTTTTACAAATCAGAAACAAACAATCGAAGAGTTATTAATATATCGTTCTTCTATTCTAACAAATTCTCTCGGAGCTACTGTTTAGGAGAAAATGATCGAGCTTCCTCTAGATGCAGCGTCGTCGTTGAAATGTCTATTAATAGGCTTCCGGTAGACAAACTGTTAATTATTGTTCGCCAATAACTCAGCTTCCTCTCGAGATATAGATTCATTCAAATAACTTTGCTGTCGCCCCTGAGAATGTTACCACCGCGCAGTGTGATATTTTAGCAATCTAGCGCGACGAAAATTATTGCCTCAATGGAGCATTAATCTTCCTTGGTTTTGTCGGTTGTTCGACTAATGGAAAACACGGTAATAAATCTCTTAAAAATTCTTTGATTCTTACGTTTGAAGTAAAGAAACAATCTTGCAACAGCAGAGATAGATTTACATCGGAATCGCTGTTTGAATCTCAGTCGATTGATGGTTTCTGGGAATATCTTGGTAATTCAATTTCTGCTGTGAACTGTAACTAGACCGTAAGAATTTATAGCGTTAACAGCTCCTGTACTCGAACCTAGAATCACGATATAGCCAGACTATAACGATTTACGCAGTATTAATGTTCGAAGTCGGAATCGTGAGCAGTGTAAAGCTTGCAGAAACATTCCTAGCCAACAGTAGTAGCAAATATCTAATTATTTTGAACTCATTGCGTCTGTGACAATAGAAGGTAGACTTCTTTGACTCCGTTCAACTGAATCACTATCGAAATTTCGTCTAGCTACAAATGAACAACCCGCAGTCCGTAGCCGCGTTTCAAACTGCATCGATGAAAATTCGCAAACGGTGATTAACGATCGAAGGTCTTTAATACGTCGAATGTTGTGCCATTGGCAGGAGGTGGTCTCCGTTAGAAAATAATCCGGATCCCCTGGTGTTCCGACGCGGATGGTTCGCCGTGCATCCAATAATAACTGTACGCGGCAGCAACCCGTGCGAATCGAATGGTCGCGTTACCGCATGCACTATCCAGCGAGGTTGCTGCGAAAACGATCGCGATTTAACGATCCATGAATCGTGAAAAAATGGGGGCGAGTGACAGAAAATAGTGGAAGGAAGGGGGAGAGAAAAAGAGAGAGAGAGAGAGAGAGAGAGAGAGAGAAAGATAATGAATGCGGGGGAGGAACTCACGCGGGTGACGACGATCGGTGTGCCCAAATCAGAGCCTCCGGCGATACGTATTCCCCAGGGTCTGTCGGTGTTGGATCTCTTTAGCTTCACGATCAACGTTTGCTTCCTCGTCATGCTCTACTCCTCTCGTCTGTCACAACAAAGCAGCGGGGGCACAGAGACCTAGAGCCCAGGAACCACCCGTCGAAAACACTCGGAAAGAGAACAGAGAACAACTTGGGGAGAGCCGCGAAAGCGAATGAAGAAACGAGAGAAAAGCGACGATTCGAAGATCGATCGATGGATATTGCAACGCGCGACACGAATCGGTCGAAAGCCGCAGCTCGGCTTACGCTCCTTGCTGGCAAACGAGAACTACTGGGCTGCGCTCTGCCACTTGATTTTGACAGGCTTTGCTTCAGCGAGCTTAGTTACCCAACTAACCGGCCCGCCGCTTCTGCTATTCTGGCCCCATTTCGAATTGGCATACCGTGTGTGTATTGTTCTGGCCCGACCTGCACTCATTTCTCTGGCATTCGCGGCCTCCCCGAGTAGTTTACTGTCTTTAAACTGTGGGACCACCCAGGGAGAGATCGTTGACAGCGTCTCTTAATAATTATTTAACCGATCCCGCGAGCTAAAATGCTTGGACACTCTTGGTTCCCGATGGTTTCGGCAATCGAGAGAACTGTACAACCCTGGTATGGTTATTCAACTCCCTCAGACTACAAGTATAGTAGTATCATTCGAAGCATATCAATTCGAACTACAGAATCCATAGATTCAAGAGAAGTTAGGAACTGTACAACCCTGGTATGGTTATTCAGCTCCCTCAGACTACAAGTATAGTAGTATCATTCGAAGCATATCAATTCGAACTACAGAATCCATAGATTCAAGAGAAGTTAGGAACTGTACAACCCTGGTATGGTTATTCAGCTCCCTCAGACTACAAGTATAGTAGTATCATTCGAAGCATATCAATTCGAACTACAGAATCCATAGATTCAAGAGAAGTTAGGAACTGTACAACCCTGGTATGGTTATTCAGCTCCCTCAGACTACAAGTATAGTAGTATCATTCGAAGCATATCAATTCGAACTACAGAATCCATAGATTCAAGAGAAGTTAGGAACTGTACAACCCTGGTATGGTTATTCAGCTCCCTCAGACTACAAGTATAGTAGTATCATTCGAAGCATATCAATTCGAACTACAGAATCCATAGATTCAAGAGAAGTTAGGAACTGTACAACCCTGGTATGGTTATTCAGCTCCCTCAGACTACAAGTATAGTAGTATCATTCGAAGCATATCAATTCGAACTACAGAATCCATAGATTCAAGAGAAGTTAGGAACTGTACAACCCTGGTATGGTTATTCAGCTCCCTCAGACTACAAGTATAGTAGTATCATTCGAAGCATATCAATTCGAACTACAGAATCCATAGATTCAAGAGAAGTTAGGAACTGTACAACCCTGGTATGGTTATTCAGCTCCCTCAGACTACAAGTATAGTAGTATCATTCGAAGCATATCAATTCGAACTACAGAATCCATAGATTCAAGAGAAGTTAGGAACTGTACAACCCTGGTATGGTTATTCAGCTCCCTCAGACTACAAGTATAGTAGTATCATTCGAAGCATATCAATTCGAACTACAGAATCCATAGATTCAAGAGAAGTTAGGAAAACTCTACATTTGCAATTGTCTTGCAATGCTTCAGCGGGAATCAGTGTGCAAACTGCATAGTTAAGAACAAAGAACAGACTGTTCTTTGCTATACTCTTCTGGTCTCTGTATTTGCTACTTTAAACAGGCCTTTCTTCGTTGCTCGATGGCTTAAACAATCCACAACATTCGGACAATTTCTTTTCTTTAAATTACTCGTACATAGGTCTACAATTGACTGTAAACTACCGTCAGTCTTACGACAAGAACTTATCCATAGATAGGGTGCTAAGATACTAATACTATTTGCTAGATATTATTCGATCGTTTGAAGCCCTCTGAATGATGCTGTCTCTCGAGATACAGTACTTATTAGAAATCAAAGTAAGAGGTCAAAGAAAAAAGATCGTTTTATGCGTCTCATCGTGAACCACTCTTCAAGGTTCCTTCTTCATGTTTCCCCAACTTCCAACGCTAATAGAATATTCTCTAACAGAAGCAAGGAAGCGGAAGGGTTGCACAGTTTAGGGGGAAAGCATTAGCCCTTAAAAGGAATCGATCGATCCAAAGACTCACCTGTCCTCCATAGATCGTCAGGACACGCTCCTACACCGCAGGATCTACAGTTCAAGAGGGACGACTGTAACGTTCAGAGAAGAATCAACGGGGGTGAGAGTGACAGGGGGTGAAATCGATCGGCGGAGACGGTTAAGGGATTCGTTCGAAAGATGCTCTACTCACATAGGTCTCGTAGTAGTTGCCAATGGAGAACTTGAGTGCCATCTTGGATCGACGAAGTCGGCCGGCCCCGGAATTGTCCTTTTTTCGTTCGCGGGCGCGCTTTCTCTGAATGACGTCTGCGAACGATACGGAGAGAGAGGCTCCTCACCCCTAATTCCCGAGCCGATCTAATTCGTCCCGCTGCACCGTAATTAATGAGACTAGATTCAGGTGGAAAGAGAAAGAGGAAAAGAGAGTGGCCGGTCGGCGAACGCGAGAAAGAGAGTGCACGTAAGTTTGACTTAAATTAGCAACCTATAGCGCGAAAGGTTAGTCAATCATAGGTCCCGAGACTGGACCGTTCTAGTGACTCATTTATCTCGATTTACACGATCCTAAAGAAAGTGTACAAGCACGGTGTGTCGGTCTCTCGGCTTGTCGATTGCCAATACCAATGACCCATTAAATCGCCCATCGATATGCCGTTTCGATGATACGGACCGGCCGATCGCTAAGAATGGCACCTGCGGCGCGATGCACCTCGGACAAGGAAGTCGAAGCGATGTGGGCCGAGTTATTCGACTCGTTGGGTAATGAAAAAAATGTAACTTTATTCCCGAAATTTGTGAAAAAAAAGGGGGTTCGCTGAAAACGCTGAAAACGGGGCGATGTTTAGGAATTTTTAGGAATTTAGGATTTTAGGAATTTTTTCCGGCAAAAAAGGGCGGCATATTCTTTAGTAGTCTTGAAGACTGTTTACCATACATTTTAGAAATTAGAAAATATTTTTTTCTTTCAAGAAATATGAAATGGAAGGATGACTGTAAACTTTTTCTTCGAATGTTTTCCGGACCATTCAACTTGGGAAAAAATAATTTTTATTGCATAGAAAAATTTAACTAAATTCTTAGACTGTTAATTAACAAGCGTGTGAAGTTTGGAATTTACTACTTGATATCTTCCTTTGAAAGAATTCCCAAAGATTGCCTTATAATAGAAGCATTAATTTGCGGTGATTAATGGAAGATTCGAGCATATTCATCGATAAACGAAGAAACAATGTTTTTTTCTTATGAGTAGTCCTCACTGATAGCTCTGCCAATGACCATCCGTCGGACCTCGCTGGTACCAGCGCCAATCTCGTATAATTTCGCATCTCTCAGGAGTCTTCCGGTGGGATAATCATTTATGTACCCATTTCCACCTGAAAAGAAATGAACGATATTGGAAGAACTTCCGGTGAAAATTATGAACCTGTTGAGATAAATTACCAAGTATTTGGATAGCGTTTAGAGCAGCTTCTGTGGCTCGTTCAGAAATAAAGAGTATCGCCGCTGCGCAATCCTTCCGATTCACGTGTCCTGTGTCACAGGATCTCGCCACGGAATACAAATAGCTCCTACAAGCACTCAAACTAGTGTACATATCCGCTATTTTCCCCTAAAACAATATTTTAATGTAAGACATTGATTTTATAATTTTTAAATCGATTGCGACATTATCTCTTGATAATGGCTTACCTGGATGAATTGAAACTCAGCAATATATTTACCAAACTGTTTTCTAGTATGTGCATAGTCGAACGCCACGTCGCAACAAGCTTGTAAAATTCTAACAGAGAAACACAAATAAATAAATTATCTTAGATAACATTGTTTAATAATATCTTTCCAGATTATTATTTAGCAGCACACAGGCCTTCTACATATGAATAAAAATCTCCTCCATTTAAAAGAAGTTCTTGAAGCTCCATTTTACAGAATCGTTAAGAATTTTACCCTAAGGGGCCAGCAGCTAATACCAATCGCTCCAGATCAAGTCCACTAAAGAGGACGTAGACGCCTTTATTCACTTCTCCAAGCACATTTTTGGCTGCAATTGACAATCAACTATTTACAGTGATTTAAAAGAGACTCTCTGAATAGTTTAGGCTAGAATAAATTTTACCAGGCACTTTGCAGTCTTCGAAAATTAGTTCGCCGGTGTTAGAACCTCGCATCCCAAGTTTGTCTAATTTCTGGGCGGTGCTAAAACCAGGAAAATCCTTCTCCACAATGAAAGCCGTGACACCGTGTTGGGGTTTGTCCGCGTTCGGATCTGTTTTCGCATAAACGATCAGCGTTTCAGCATCGGGACCATTCGTGATCCAGAATTTGTTTCCATTTAAAATATAATAGTCTCCTTTTTTCTCCGCTCGTAATTTCATTGAGACAACGTCCGATCCTGATCCTGGTTCCGACATTGCCAATGCTCCCATGTGTTCTCCATTGCATAACTATTATTATTACCGTTACTATGTCAACTATACTGCTTATTCTATATTATATATAGTTATTATATTATTATATTATATTATTATATATAGTTATTTATATATAGTTATATTATATATATAGCACTTATTCTATATAGTGCTTATTATATATTATTATTAATTCTATACTGTCAGTGCAGTAGTTATGTTCATTTGTTTACCTTCGGCAAGTATTTATGCTTCTGTTCTTCCGTACCGTTTCTGTGAATCTGATTGACGCACAGATTCGAATGTGCGCCATAACTAAGCGCTATAGATCCCGATGCTCTGCTCATTTCTTCCATGATAACAACATGATCGAGATATGTGCCACCTGTACCGCCGTATTCTGGTCGCACCGTGATCCCTAACAAACCTAAATCTCCCAGCTTTCTCCAGAACGACTGAAATCCATAGAAATAATTTTCTATAAATTAGTCGAATTCAATTTGTTACACACTCTCATTAATAGTTACACACTCTCAGGTCATGAAAATTGTTCTGTCTGTCGATCTCGGCAGCCTTCGGTGCAAGCTCCTTTTGTACAAAATTGAAAACCAACTGTCGCAGCTGTTAAAAAACAATTTTAGTTAAAAATATTACTGTTCAAACTTCCTGGAAACACTTGATCGATACGGTGTGGCGGAAAAAAGATTGAATTTGAATTTCGAAATGTATCGATTTACGTTCGATCGTTCGAACGATAGCGCCATATCAGTCGAAGGTTTACGCATTTATGGCAACGCTACGGTCAGGCGCTGATGACTTACGACGTATCGACTGTATCGATTAAAGAAGTTTAATAGACTTTTTCTTTGATTTGTATTTAGTTAACATGTTTAACAAAGGCAAATAGACATTATTTGACTTCAGAAACATTCACTGTCTATTGATAACCTTTATACTGCGATCTAACTTTGTTACAAATTTACTAACCTGTTTCTGTTCGTCATTTAGGCCAAAGATGTTCTCGTCGATCTTGTAATATTGTGAAGAACATCTCACGTTGAATTTGTTACTCAATCCGAGGAAATTCCGAAAAAATAGACCCGAACATTTCTGCGCGCATAACTTCATATTCAAGTTCTACCTACGTTTTCCAATATACTCACTCCAGTACGTTCGATCGAACAGTAAATATGATAAGAAATTGTTTTTCGAAAATAACAATATTCAGAGCGGCATTACTAAATGCTGCTTAGTGTTGCGAAACTTAAATGTAACTTCGTATTTCTCATTTCTTATCATTTATCATTATACATACGTACATATGTACTGTGGAGTTCACAATGTGGATGTTTATGTATACAAATTTTCATTTTCGTAAACGCATCTTCACGAAGATAACATAAAATTGTATTAAATTGATTTAAATATATTTACAAATTAAAAATGCATAAAATCCACGTACATATTTATATTCGTTTATTTGTGTTTTCTCCAAGAAATTCGAAAGCAACCAAATAGAAAGCATTTTTTGTCAATGCAAGAAATTACGAACAAATAGATAATGTGTGTACTAAAATAATTTTTCTAGTCTTTTAATTTATAAATCGCTTTCGTTATTTCGATATGTACTTGGACCATTGTCAACTTCTTTCACGCTTGTATGATCTGTGTATGTATAGATGCATGTGATGAAAGCCGGACATTTAAGAGGTTAGAACGATATGTAAGAAAAGTGATTGTTTAGATGGTTTTAATGTTCATTGTCCATTTAACAACATTATAAGTGTGAACAACAAAATGGGTGAAATGAAATTTAGTAACTATGACGGAATCAAATCAGAACAGAAGTATAATAATGTAGTAAAACATATACAGGTAAGATATAGGTTAGAATACTATGTTTTTGTACCTAAATACCTTCACGGCAATCACTATTAAATTATTTGTTTGCAGGATAAATGGAAACTGGTACCTGCTTTTCTGAAAGGGAAAGGCCTCGTAAAGCAACACATAGATTCTTTCAATTATTTTATAAATGTCGAAATAAAGAAGATTGTAAAAGCAAATGAGAAGGTGTTAAGCGATGCTGATCCCCTGTTTTATGTGAAGTAGGTATCATGCTGTTTTTAAGTCCACTTGCTCTATCATTCTACTTAATACGTGCTTCCCTGATAGGTATCTGAATGTCCATGTTGGTACACCAGACGTAGAAGAAGGTTTCAACGTAACTCGATCTACAACTCCACACGAATGTCGTCTGAGGGATTTAAATTACTCTGCTCCGATTACTGTAGATATTGAATATATTAGAGGGCATCAGCCAATAATTAGGAATAATTTATTGATTGGAAGGTATAAACTTTAATTTGTTCATTATGTTTACTATGATTATATTCATTGTTGTTTTTCAGAATGCCCATTATGTTAAGAAGCTCAAATTGTGTATTAAATGGAAAATCCCATTTTGAATTAGCAAAAATGAATGAATGTCCACATGATCCTGGTGGTTATTTTGTAATAAACGGACAGGAAAAAGTCATCCTTATACAAGAACAAATGTTGAGAAACAGAATTATTTTAGAAGAAGATAGCAAAGGCTGTATTATAGCATCTTGTAATAGTTCCACTCATGAGAGGAAAACGAAAACGAATATTGTGGGTAGAGGAGGAAAATATTACATGAGACACAATATTTTTCAGGATGTAAGTAATGATTATATACAGTTTAAAATATTTGATGTGTTAATATTGGTTACCTTATACATAATTTTTAAATATGCACGTATTTTATGTTCCAAGGACATACCTGTAACAATAATATTTAAGGCAATGGGAATTGTCAGTGATCAAGAGATCATGCAACTTATTGGTACAGAGAAAGAATTCATGAAGAAATTTGCATCTAGTTTGGAAGAGTGCCATACGTTAGAAGTCTTTGCTCAAAATCAGGCACTTAGGTAATATTCGACTTTGTTATTATTAATACTAATTAAACTAAACTAAAAATAATAGTCGACTGTTGTTATTATTAATACTAATAGTATAAAATATTTCAGATATCTCAGTAATAAACGAAAACAGAAAAGGTACTCGTTAATCAAATCTAGTATCACAGACGAAATGAAGGACATATTAGCAACTAATGTTTTATCACATGTTCCGGTTAGTAATGTAAAAGTTATACTCATGTAACATCTGTAAAGAATATTAACTACAGTATATCCTCCGTTACAGGTAATAGATTTTAATTTTAAAGTGAAAGCTACATATATTGCTTTAATGATTCGTAAAGTCATGAAAGCACAATCTGATGGCAAGCTTGTAGATGACAGAGATTACTATGGTAATAAGCGATTGGAATTAGCTGGTTCTTTATTGTCTTTGATGTTTGAAGACCTGTTTAAAAGGTTCAATTGGGAGGTAATGATTTAACAATGATTCTCAAGTACCCAAAAAATTCAATTACGGATAATAATGTTACATTTTTCTAGTTGAAACAAATTGCTGACAAGAACATCCCGAAAATTAAAGCTGCGCAGTTTGATATTGTAAAACACATGAGACAAGATCAAATTACAAACGGACTAGCTTTCGCCATATCTTCGGTGAGTAAATTATGTTATAGTCAAAATACGTTTTTAGAGAACAGTTTATGTGAGAAAGCTGTAATAATCCTATAGGGTAACTGGACCATCAAACGATTCAGAATGGAACGTCACGGTGTGACTCAAGTGTTGTCCAGACTTTCTTACATTTCCGCGCTTGGTATGATGACGAGAGTTAATTCACAATTCGAAAAAACAAGAAAAGTGTCGGGTCCACGATCTTTGCAGCCATCACAATGGGGAATGCTATGTCCTAGCGATACTCCTGAAGGAGAAGGTTGTGGTTTAGTTAAAAATTTGGCTCTCATGACGCATATTACCACGGAGCTCGATGAAGAGCCAATTGTGAGGTTGGCGTTCAATTTAGGAGTGGAGAACGTTAATATCCTTGGCGGAGAAGAGATCAATAACAAAAGCGTTTACATGGTGTTCTTAAACGGTAATATTCTGGGGATAGTCAAGAATTATCAGAGGCTAGTAAATGTATTTCGGTTACTCCGCAGAAATGGTCTCGTAAATGGTTTCGTCTCTATATACACGCAACATCAGCACAGATGTATCCAGATCAGTTCCGATGGGGGACGATTATGTAGACCATACATTATCGTGAAAAATGGACAACCTCTTATACAAGAGGAACATATCAAATTCCTTGAACATGGTGTACGCAATTTCGAAGATTTCTTACAAGACGGTTTAATCGAGTATTTGGACGTCAACGAAGAAAACGACAGTTCTATTGCATTCAACGAAGCACACATTAGCTACAAAACAACACACTTAGAAATCGAACCATTCACGTTGCTCGGAGTTTGTGCCGGATTGGTACCATATCCTCATCACAATCAAAGTCCTCGAAACACATATCAGTGTGCTATGGGTAAACAGGCTATGGGAACTATTGGTTATAATCAGCGCAATCGTATCGACACATTGATGTACAATTTAGTATATCCTCAAGCACCTATGGTTAAGTCTAGAACAATAGAATTAATCAATTTTGATAAGCTACCGGCTGGTCAGAATGCAACAGTAGCTGTTATGTCCTACAGCGGTTATGATATTGAGGACGCTCTTATTTTAAATAAGGCATCTATCGACAGAGGATTCGGGAGGTGTTTGATATATCGGAATGCTAAGTGCACCTTGAAAAGATATGCCAATCAAACGTATGATCGCATAATGGGTCCACTTCTAGATTCAAACACAAAGAAACCTGTTTGGAGACACGACGTTATTGATAGTGATGGAATCGCTGCACCCGGTGAAATGGTGGAGAACAGGAAGGTTCGTATATTAATATTAAGCATGAAATTTTATATTTTAACTCATACTTTTCTGTTTTGTCATAGGTGATGGTAAATAAGTCGTCACCCTCTGCAAACATCGGTCCAGTAAATTCTGGCAATGTGCAGGCACAAACAGAATACAAAGATGTTCCAGCTGTTTACAAAGCTCCAGTGCCTTCCTACGTTGAGAAGGTGATGATCTCCAGCAACGCGGAAGACGCGTTCTTAATTAAACTATTATTAAGACAAACTCGTAGGCCGGAGATTGGTGACAAATTTAGTAGTCGACATGGACAGAAGGGTGTGACCGGTACGTGTTTCAATTTGTAGTTTGTAACATACATAAATTATCTAATGCTTGCATCTGTGCATAGGTTTAATCGTGGAACAAGAAGATATGCCATTTAACGATTATGGTATATGTCCTGACATGATCATGAATCCACATGGTTTCCCTTCTCGTATGACAGTTGGCAAACTGATAGAATTACTTGCTGGAAAAGCTGGAGTTGTGAAAGGACAATTCCATTATGGCACAGGTACTTAAATCTATAGTGAATTCCTTCTTGTTAATACTGACCAATACTAAGCTATAGCATAAATCATTTTTATAAATTATTCTACAGCTTTCGGAGGTTCCAAAGTGGAAGATGTTTGCCAAGAGTTGGTAAAACATGGATACAATTATTTGGGCAAGGACTTCTTTTACTCTGGGATCACAGGGGAACCATTGCAGGCATATATCTATTCTGGGCCAGTGAGTTAATAATATCGTAACATTTCGCTGAACTTTATATATATATATTATTCTCTCAAATAATAATATTTAAAAATGCAGGTATATTATCAGAAATTGAAGCACATGGTGCAAGATAAAATGCACGCTCGAGCTCGAGGTCCGAGAGCTGTGTTAACGCGACAGCCAACCGAAGGTCGCGCGAAGGAAGGAGGTTTGCGATTAGGAGAAATGGAACGTGATTGTTTGATTGGATACGGTGCGAGCATGATGCTAATAGAGAGACTTATGATATCAAGCGATGCATTCGACGTAGACGTATGCAACAAGTGTGGTCTTATGGCGTATAGTGGCTGGTGCCACAGTTGTCGCTCCAGTTCATGTGTTTCCACGATCTCTATGCCTTATGCCTGCAAGTTGCTTTTCCAAGAACTGCAGTCAATGAACATCGTACCCCGTTTGACATTAAAAAATTATTGCGAGTAAATTTTACGCATATATGTACATATATTTTTTGTATGTGTAACAGCGAGTTAATTTTTTTTACAAAAAGAAATATTACAACAAGAGTCAATTAAGTGTCGGTTAAAGTGGTTTTGCAAGTAGATGTACCACAGGATTTTCAATACAGTCCTTGCTTTGTATTAAACGTAATTCGATTTTTCTGGCAAACTGTACGTCCTGATCGCGGCACTCTAACGAATATTTATAAAAGCAGTTATTAGACTTTCATACTTTTCCTTTGAAAAAAGTAATTTAGACACTTTCAATAAAACAATACCTTGAAAATGTTCGTAAGTCTTGAGCAAGACGCTGTGCAAAGAACCCACAGTTTTTTCAATAGCATCTTTTATATTGTCTTGCAAGTGCGTGTGTGCTAGAAACAGCGCGGCGAAAAGATCTCCTGATCCCGTAAAACTAGCTGGTATTTTTGGAATGTCGATCTGCATTACTTTATTATCTGAAATCAAATAGAATCTGTTTGCAAGCATTCAGTATAGATAAGGAATTTTTATACGTTTTGAACGTCACTTCTATTAATTTATTACCCTTCACCGTGCTACATATTGCTGTTAATTTATTGTCAATTTCTACTGATGAAACAGCTACTATTTGAGGACCTGCTTTATGTAATATATTTATAGCAGTTTGTATATTTAGAATAGTATTGGTCTTGACATCACTCAGCCACCTAAAATTATTAACATTTTTACTAATGTTCTTGTTTTCTTTGTAATAAAATTATAATATGATTAATGTACTCTAATTCATATTGATTTGGCACTATGATATCTGCCAGTGGTACTATCTCTGTTTTATAAATTTCTTTTAGTTCTTCAGGAACATACATTTTTCCATTATCGCCCATAACAGGATCACAAACTTGAATAAAAAGATCCATATATAGTACGAATTTAATCTCAATTAAATCTATATGTATATATATATATATTACAATTTATATACCATATATAAGATTAGGATTTTTCTGTTTCAATTCACGAACTACCCCCGCTATTCTTTTCAAGAAGGGGGCAGAGCCAACATATCCAGTTAGTAAATGACTGTAATTATCCAAATTATTTTGTGCTAAACCGGACATCAGAACCTCTGAAAAATAACTATTATTATTATTAATTGTTAATTATTAAATTGTTCATGGAATTGGAATGGACTCATTCTATACTTTATATCTAAACTTGAATTTAGTGTTCTTACCCAAGTCTTTATCATCTAATACTTGGCCTAGGAAGACCTTGTATCCAGTATGATTAGATAGTTGAACAGAATTGATTGCATCTACATCAAAACCTAGTAACTAAACGGAAGATATAATTAAATTATCAACGTATTACTGTTTACAACAACGTATTTTATTTGAAAATAGTAATTTAACTTTTCTACTGTTTAATAATGCAAAATATGATAATTTAAATTATGAATAAACATATAATAGATATAAATATAAAAATAAATTAAAAAAAGGAAGGCTATACTTCTGAAAAGGATCTGTTATACGATAAAAACTAACGGTAACATATGAATCGACATGCATTAAAAGCTGCGTATACCGACATCACTAATACATTGAATGACGCTTATCAAGATGTTACTAGACATGTCAATGACGTAACACTAGCACACAATTTAAGCAGTAGAGAAATGGCAGAAGATTTTTCAATGAATATATTCGAAGCTAAAATTTTGCATTTCGAATAATCTCTTTCAGTAAATTTCGTCTTTATCAGCCACAGGTTCCTTTCAGAAGTTTATTCAAAAGGGATAACCTTTTTTCGTTTAAGTGCTCTAGCATTTTCAAAAAGTAGAACAGGTGTGTCATGTACAGACGCGTTAGCCGATTCGAAATGGTCTATCTTGTAAAAATCACAAAACTGAATTTATTTAGATTTCGTGTAATCTTTATTACATACTAGATGTGCTTGAATAAAAATTAAATTATTTCCCATAGAAACATCTTTGTGATTTTAATAATAATAAAACAAAAAATATGGATTCGAGCGGTATTGGTAGATCTAATGTTAACTAAATTGACAACATGGACAATTTGTTTACCTGCAACGGAAATATTGCACTTTTATTGCCCACATAACCAGACACTACGTGACTTTGTATCGAAAGTATTCGTGGCATCGTTTTGGGCAATGTTGATCAATTGACTGATAATGTTGCACTATGCATTGGCTATGCACTATCCAATCCACGAACTATCAATATTGTGGCGTGCACTAGTCTCATGCTTAGCTTTTTATCAGGACTATTATGTAATCGTATTATGCATCGTATCGTGCTGTCAAGTAAACGAAATCTATACATTGCACTAACGGTGTGTCAGTGTCAGATCCATGCACCCACACCCTCATGCATCTAAAGGACGCTTGATCACAGAGCTCTCAGGCTCCTGGCCATTCTTGGAATTTTCATTCAAGACCAGCGTATCCATTGGTGTCTAGTGTGTCCAATGGCGTTAGAGATTCTGCTCGGAACCTGTTTCAAGTGGCGGCGAGGAGACCACACAAGTGGAATTGAACGATTCTAATGGATTGCTAATGGAAATCCATTGGCATCATCCAATCCCATTTGTGATGAGTAATTAATTCTCCTACTCCTACTTTCCTGGAAGAAAGTCGTAAAACAATCAGAATGCTGAGAACTGATCAATTCTGTGCTCATATTCGGAATAATGAGGAAACTCTCAAACTTGTAGGACAGCTAAATCTATGTTTGTGGCCTCTGGTTATTAGCGATGTCGGTATTTAGAACACGTGATGTGACACCTATATGGTGTCCGGTCTACTGTGATACCTCGTCTGTGATACAATAATGTACCGATTGAGCATCACACGGAAATCATTGTATGGAAAGTTGGTGGCATGTCTACGTCATGTTGCCTCGTGATTTGTTTTGTGCAGGCAGAAAAAGTATGGCGACGTGGGAAGGCGAAAAATTTCAGGAATACGAGAACACCGACGATATTGAGGGAAACTTTGATAATATTCTCGTGACACATGATCTCCAAGATTGCCTCGACGATAGCTTAGATATAACTAATTTTGGCAGAGTTTACGAACAGGGCGCTGTATTCGATTACGAGAAGTATTCCGACGATGATACTCCTATCGATGAAAGGATACCTAGTGACAACACCACGGAGTAAGATCGCTTGTGATTTTTTTACATTTCGATTTCTATATTGAATTAAATAAATGCTCCTACTATGTATTGCCAACTAGAAATAGAAGAAATCAACGAAAGAATAGGAACGATTAACAAACTATTTATTTAATGGCAAGTGGTAGTTTTTATCCCAACCTTATAAGGATATAACGCATTTTGACATTAGAGCTCTAATCCTTGCTTTTATGAATTGTACACTTCAATCGACTCCGAAGCAAAAGTTTTTGGTACGTTCCGAATATAAAAATTTATTTCATTTACTTAAACAGAATTTGTGCAATACATATGTAATTATATTTTCTTTGAATTTGTATTAAATATCAATTTTAGTAGCATTTTCTTTGATAAAATATTTACGATTAATTTTATAGTTTTAAAAGTTATTAATTATTGCTAAAGAAATTTTTATATCTTATTATATTAGTATGTTATTTTAGGAGAAATACTTCATTTGGTTTCTGTCATATGTTGTCTTATGCATAAAATATAATATATGAGCATAGTGTTGGAAAATTATAAATTTAGTTTAAGATTAGTCAGAAACAACAATAC